ATTACAGGCAGTCCCCGGGTTACGTACAAGATAGGGACTGTAGGTTTGTTCTTAAGTTGAATCTGTATGTAAGTCGGAACTGGCGTCCAGATTCAGCCGCCAGTTCTGACTTACATACAGATTCAACTAAAGAACCCCAAGCGTCCCCAAGTCAGCTGCTGCTGAAACTGATCAGCAGCTGAATCAGGAAGCCCGAGGCAGAGCAGCTGGGGTGCTGCCGGGTTGGTCCAGTAGTGCCCAGAGCGGCGCTGCGGGATCAACCGGCAGCGCCCCAGCTGCTCTGCCCCAGGGTCCACAAGCCTCAGAAGCGCGGCAACCCGCCGCGGCTGCAGCTTCGCTCCCGGTGCCCCTGGTCTGCTGGGGATGGTCCCCAGCAGACCAGGGGCACCAGGAGCAGCTTTTCTTGCCCCGGAGGTCGAGGTGGCGGGACCGCTGCCTGCGAGCTCCGGGGCGAGAAAGCCCTGTTCCTAAGTGCGGATCTGACATAAGTGGGATCCGCATAAGTCAGGGACTGCCTGTATTCTGTGAAACTCTGCTAGCACTTTATACAAATGATATGGAGGATAATAACAAGAAACAGAGTGTGTGGAGGAAAATCTTACAGTTTAAATTTGAAGTCTAGTGCCAGAGCACATGTGAGGGGGTGGTGTGAAGGGTGCGAAAGCCCTCCTCCTCTCCACATGGATCCCCAAGTAAGCATGCTCCAGCCAGCCAGGGGAAGGCAGGAGTGGCACGCTGCCCGAACCTCCCTAAGCCATATTCTGGCCAGCCGGTGGAAGGATGGAGCAGATTTCCCTGCTTACTTGGGGGAATATAGGGGTGCAGTCTCACCCTTGCAGTCCACATTTACAAAAAAAAGCACACACAGCTCCCAGATATGTCTGCATACAGGCCTGAGCAGCATAAGAAAACTCCAGTGCCTAACCCCTCCTGTTCGCTAGCCCCGTATGAGGTTATTCAGCATAGGGGAAGGCTTGTGGGAGGCTAGGCCTGAGGCTTCTTAGGTGTGCTCTGCATTGTGTATTTTGTGTGTGCGCGCACCTCAGACCAGACCCACTCAGATAAACCACCAGGAACAGGCTTTATTCTGTAAAAAACACAAAACAGGATCACAGTTCAGCAGCCCTTCCTCTGAGCATGTAGCCTGTGTGCAGCTTCTAGCACAGTCCCTGCTGAGACCCTGCTGGGGGCAGAGGTTACAGCACACAACACAGCCCCTTTACAACATGTTCCAACTCCCACAGTAACTAAACTCCACAATAACCAAGTCCAGGTTCTCCCTTTGTGCCAGACCCACTCCGACAAATCACCAGGAACAGGCTTTATTCTGTAAAAAACATAGAACAGGAAAACAGTTCAGCAGCCCCTTCTCTCAGCATGCAGCCTGTGTGCTGCTTCTAGCACAGTCCTTGCTGAGACCCTGCCGGGGGCAGAGGGTGCATCTTGGCAGGAACCAGGAAGTTCTCCCAACATGCTGCAGTTTGTAGTCCACAACTTGTAGTTCCCAGGGCTGCTGCTGAAACACACTGGACCTTGGGCTACCTGATGGAGTGGTTAAAGTTGTCATGCACCATCATAATCCCATGCATTCAGAGATCATGCAGCATTTAAAATTCAATAGTTGGGTACCCCTAAGGAAGATGGTTGAGTAGTTCTGGACTCCTAAAACCCTGCACATTAATTTGTTGCTAGCAATTATTTTCCTCACAAAGTGGCAATAAGTTTTTGTCATAATCATTTAAATTACTCCCCTGGATAAAGTTCAAACTGTTGAATATGAATATGAAAAAATGAGAGGCAACAAAAACTCAAGTCTAAGTTACCCAACTGAAGGGAGAGACTGCCAGATCACAGCAGAACCTAGCCAATCACATCACAATATTGAAAGAATTCCTCTATGACTGGATTCACTCTTAACTTATCTGTGGCATTTCTAAAGATATCTATGATGTAAAATCCTAGGTAGCTCACTTGGAACATGAGCCATAAAAGGACTGTCATTGAAACTAGTAAAATTAAAGAAGAAACTGCCTCCTTAAAGCTTAGACTAGACAAACTGGAAGGAAAGCAGGGTGACTTAGAAAACAAATCTCAAAAAAACAACCTTCGCCTCTTGGGAATTGCTGAGGGTTTAGAGGAGGAAGATATTATCAGCTTTCTGCAGAACCTGCTTCCTGACATACTTAAATTGGACACTAAGCTGCCCCCATTAGATATTGAAAGGGCTCATCAAATGCCTCATTCTTGAAGGCAGGAGTCTTCTAAGACTAGACCCATTATCTTCCAGCCACTGAAGTTCAATGATAAAGTAATGTCAATGCAGGCTGCCAGAAAAGCTGAAACTCATGTACAAAGGCCACCAAATTTCTGTTTTTCCTGACTTCTCAGGTGAGCTTAACAAAAAGAGGGCTGCATTCAACGGCTTGAAGCAAATCCTGAAGGGAACCAAAGTCAGACACAGAATCGAGTACCCATCCACTTTCATTATGGATTTAGCAGACTCCCCTCCAGTGTCTCTGTATGCACACAGTGGAGTTTTGAGATCAGAAAAAGCTACTTATGCCATTTGGTTCCCTCTCTCTTTTATATGCCATTAGAAAAAAAAAATCTGACCTCTGTCTCTGTATAGACCATCCTGCAATAAGTTAAGCTGTTTACAGCAGCTTCTTGTACCACTATGGGATAACCTGTGCCTTAGGATCAAGGCTAATTCCTCACTTAAAACAATTTGGACAGAAAAAAGGACTAACAAAAATTTAAAATATAAAACAAGATGATAAACTAGCCTCCTTTGATGCCATGTGTAACAAATATCAAGTACTGGGTGTGTCTACACTGGCCCACTTATTCCGGAAAATCAGCCGCTTTTCCGGAATAAGCTGAGAGCTGTCTACACTGGCCCTTGAATTTCCGGAAAAGCAACAATGCTCTACTGTACAAAATCAGCCGCTATTCCGGAAAAACTATTCTGCTCCCGTTCAGGCATAAGTCCTTATTCTGGAACACTGTTCCAGAAAAGGGCCAGTGTAGACAGCCCAGCAGTCTTTTCCAGAAAAAAGCCCCGATCGCGAAAATGGCGATCGGGGCTCTTTTCCGGAAAAGCGCGCCTACATTGGCCACAGACGCTTTTCCGGAAAAAGGGCTTTTCCAGAAAAGCAGCCTGCCAATATAGACGCTCCTTTTCCGGAATAACTGAAAATGGAATAGTATTCCGTTTTAAGCATTTCCAGAAATTCATGCCAGTGTAGACACAGCCCCGCTGTCTCACAGTTCTAAGTTCTTTCAGTAGCTATGCTCAAGGATTCTTGAAAAGTTGGAGGACAATCGAACTATTTCAACCCTCTCATCTCTAAAAGAACATGTTAAGAAATTCAGAAACAAAAGTCAATTTGTAGGAATTACATATAGGTGGTTTAATGCTTTGCATTACTCTTTAAATCTCAGTCTCAAAGAAAAAGGAGGAAAATTTTAGCTTTCCTATCAGAAGAGAAACCTGGGAGGCTGTCTGACAAAGTGAAAAATACTTCAGGTTCTTTATTCTTGCAATTTTTCCAGAACAATTTCTTAAACA